TGCGCGTCCGATTCCTTTCCTTCGCACGTGCGACTCGCCGTGATACGCGATTACGACGTAGCGCGCGACGGGGCATTGACGCGAGCGACGTGGAGCGACAGAACAGGTCGCTCATGGCGTTTCCAAGTCCCACGCCTCACACGCCCGCCTTCCGCTCACTAGCGCCCGACGAGCGGCGTTCACGAATGTTTCATTATGCGCTCGAGGCGTCGCAAAAGTCATCGGCTGCTCGCTGCCACCTGCCGCTTACTAGTCTGACGAGCCTTCTCGCGTGTTGTCACTGTGTGTGGTGCAAATCCCCAAACATGACGAGCTAAGTGACCTCCAAGCGCTTTCAGTCTCTGTTGCGAGGGCAGGGCAACCATGTCCATGGCGCTCATGACCCCATGGCGCTCATGACCCCATGGCGCTCATCAACCCCATGCGCCCATCACCGTGCATGCATCACTGTTCAACCCCCCTCTCGCCCTTCCCCTCTTTCCCCTCCCTGCTCGGCCCCTCGTGCCCCAGAGGGCAGAGCAGCCATTGCCCAGTGGAGCTCACTGACGCCGTGTTGCGCCGCCCATCACCATGCATGCATCACCGTGCATGCATCACCATGCATGCATCACCGTGCATGCATCACCATGCATGCATCACCGTGCATGCATCGCCATGCATGCATCGCCGTGCATGCATCACCGTGCATGCATCACCGTGCATGCATCACCGTGCATGCATCACCGTGCATGCATCACCGTGCATGCATCACTGTGCGCGCATTGACCTGTGTGTGTGTGCTGCGTCTCCCCATGCCTCCCTGTGCGCCATCAGAGGGTGGAGCAGGCGTCGCCCATGGAGCTCATCAACGCCGTGCCGCCCATCCTCGTGCACTCACGCGTTGTTGCCTGCAGGGGAGGTGCGTGGAAGGGACAAGTGAGAAGGTGGGTGGGGAGGATGGAGTGATGAAAGTGGAGAGAGAGGGGTTGGAGTGAGGAGGTGGGGAGAGGAAGGGGGGGCTGGAGTGGAGGAGGTGGGGGCAGGATGGGGGATTGGTCTTCAAGGTGGAGTGGACAGGTGTGCGCAAGAGGAGCTGATGTCCTGCACTGCATGCCACCCACCGCATATCGCATTGCATTGCAGGCTGTAACCCATGCATGCGGGAATTCAAGCCAAAGCGCCACCTGAACCATCCTTCCACGTCCCTTAACGTCTTACCCCCCACCTACCCTGCCCCCCCATCCTCGCCTTTCCCCACTTCTCTCTCCCCAGGCCGCAACCCCGCCCTGGGCCATCCAGTGGAGTGCATCAACGTGGATGCACCCCCACCCCCTTCCCCCCCCGCCCTTCCTTTTTCCCCCCTCCACCCTTTTCCCCACCACCCTTTTCCGTCCACCGCCTCCCTCTCTCTCCCCCAGGTCCCATCCCCTCCTTGGGCCATCCAGTGGAGTACCCAGGGGCAGGGACGCCCCTCAGCCCTCGCCCTGCCTCATCAACATGCCCCCACCTCCCCTTCTCCCCTTCCCTCCTCGCCCCTCTCTTTTATCAGGCCCCAACCCCGCGCTGGGCCATCCAGTGGAGTACATCAACGTGGACGCGCCTCAGCCCGCCGTCTGCAAGTACTGCGGCCTGCGCTACCTGCAGGACCACAGCCACTGACCGACCAAGCGTCAACACTGGAGAGTCAAGAGCGTGTGGGCGAGCGTCAAGAGTGAAGAGTGAAGGGTGAAGTGAAGACTGAAGTGCCGTGGGCGAACACAGTTTGAAAAACTCAGTTGGTGCTGCAACTGGGGAGACTGCAGCAGCATGAACACCACATGGACTGTTAGGAGTGCACACTACTCAGTCAGGTCCCTAGATTCTTTTTGGGACACGCTGATCGATCAGCATGCACCCTTCTCTGAACTCTGTCTGTCAGAGTTGCCTCCAATTTTCAGGCTGAAAATTCAGACACTACGTTTTTTAGGCTGAACGTTCAGTTACACACAAAAAGGCTGATCACTTCTATAGATTACTGAACAAACATCTCAACTATATGAGTCAGAGTCTGACTGATGACTCTCTACAGTAGCACGCTCAACTACTGGCTCCTCTGCAGGCTTCTTCCCAGCCCTTGGGGGCTCCATGTGTCTTGCAGCAGGTGCTGTGACTGGCCGGCGCTTCTTGCAGCAGGTGCTGGGGTACGCTTGCTGCCAGATGGGTTTCTTGAGTATTGCAGTCAGTCCCGTGTGGAACTTTCGCTCGCTCTTCGGAGCTCTGGCTAGGACTTGGCACAGAGTCCGCATCTCCTTCACGGCACGCTTCTTGAAATGCCTGCAAGGTAAGACAAGGCAGGGGATTAGTAAATGATGGGTTTTCAACGGTTGAACGTGTTAGAATACTAGGAAGGATGGTGGATTAGGTAAGGGGGAGGGGTACAAGGATGTCGAGAGAGAGAGTTGGGTTGTACCCTCTAAGGTGTGACCCCTACACAACCTAGAGTAAGATGAACAGAACAATATGTTGTGACAAGGGCTTACTTTAGTGCCAGGGTCCGTCTGACGTTAAGACCGGGTCCTGGAGCCTTGTCTGATGTTCAGACGAAAGTTTTAGCCTAGTCTTATGTTTCAGACGAATCAAAAACACTTGTCAGAGCCGTCAGACGGAATTAGATAGTTAATTTTATACGGTAGCTAGCAAATTTCCTAGCCTACGTAGTTTCTAGACTTAAAAGAATCTATCGACATCCTATTCAATTCTAAGAGGAATCACTAGCATTACTGCTTTCACTGTCATCACTACCACTGCCACTGTCATCACTACCACTGCCACTCTCAGAGGTTTCAACAATTGTGGCTCTGGGTTTGCCCTTCCTCCAGGTAGGGAGTTCCCATGCAGCTTCTTCTGCAGCCTCTCTCTCTCCCTTGTTGCAGCCTCTTCTGCCTCTTTCCGTGCTCGTGTAGCTGCTTCTGCTGCTGCTGATGGTGCAGCGCGTTTCTTCAGGTGATGGGACCGCCGTCGCTTCACCGGGCGTGATCCTTCAGACATAACCACCTCACGAGCCGGCCGCCTTTTCTTGCTGGCATTCCACCTATCCACCAGCTCCTGTGTGTTCAGCTCGTAATCCAGAAGAGACACCGTCATCAGGTCGCCGAGTGTCGTGTCGCACAAGCTGCCACGCACCCAGCTTTTGATGATGTTCTGACGGCTGAAGCCGCGCTCACACTCAACAGTGCTGAGCGGTAGCACAGCAACAGCTATCCACAGGCGGCTGAGGTTCGGATAGGCTGACTCCCAATCCGGCGTTGAGAGCATCTGCGACAGGCTTTCATGGAAGGACAGGTCTTCGTGGTGAGTGGAGAGGATGGTGGTGAAGCTGGTGAGCTCCTTGGCGGCTTTGCCCCAGTCGACACCTGAGAGTGAGGGTAGGGTAGGGTGTGGGACATCGGTTATCACAAAAAAGAGTCCAGTTAAGGCACGGCAGCACTAACGGTTAGAGGAAGATACGCTGTTTTAAATGCAAACACTAACCAGGGAGGGTGTCTGGATGGTGGGGCTTCTTCTTAAATAGTTTGCGCAGCGACTCAAGACATTCGGGAAAACGACACGCTCTCTTAGCGCGCGAACACGGGTACCGTCCCTGCCGAAATAGACGGGCCCCGTCCAACGACTTGGGACTCGTGAAGCGATCCTCGATGAAGAACACGGTCTCCCAACGAACTTAGATGCCGTCTCCACGCACGACGCCAGGTCGCCCCCAAACTTCTCCTTCCCGATTAGGTCCTTGTGCAGCAAGTAGGTGTGAGTCACGGGTGCTCCCGCGCTGTCGATGCTTTCGACCTTCACCTCGCGAAGCTCGGTGCTCCCGTGGTTCTTCAAGAAAGTCGCAAGACGGCCATTATTGTCGCCGAATGTGGAGCCGTACTCCACATAGCGACTTCTCAAGATCAGGGTGGTGTGCTGCACCATCGACCGCACCTACGTCGCATCAAGCTGCACATATTAAACAGAAACAGAATTAGGCTCGGCACGGGAAGAAAGGATGGTGGTTGCAACCACACGAAATCACCTGTCGTCGCTGGAACTTGAGATTCAGGCTGTTCAGCTCCTGAAGCACGTCAACCAGAAAGAAGAGGAAAAACTGAAACTTCAAACTGGTGACAATAGTGTAAGTTGCCTTGTTGTACTCATGGAGAAGGACAACGGCAGCAGGCAGCACGTCTGCAAAGCGCTCGATGGCGTCCCCGCGTGACAGCTAGCGGACGTTTTTAATCCCTTGCATCTCCAGGTTGGTCTATGTAATCACCTCCTGCAGCTTCTTGAATCGCGCATGCTGCACGATGCTGCGGCCGAGAATGTTCGCGAAGGACCGGACGACTTTGTCGACGACATTGGATTCGGGGAATTCTTCAGCAGCATCCTTAGCAGCCAGAGCCTCCCTGCACTCATAACACAAGTAGGATTAGTGGGCGGGAAACATGTGAACGCAACATCACGACATAAAAACAACACACTACCTGTGGGCCACGTAGTGGCACGACACAATATGCAGCACCCGTGTTCGTAATCCCGCCTCTAGGCCTGTCTGCCCGGCCGTCATCACGCTCGCGCCATCCGTGGTCAGGCCGCTGACCCTTGTCAGTTCGAGGCCGCACGCAGCAAGTTGCGTGAGCAGGACGGCCTCAAGCGACCGGCGTCGCACTTCTCAACGGACAAGTTGGCGAAGAACTCTATAGCCACCACCGTGCCACGGAGAAACGTGGCATACACAATCATGTGTTTGCCACGCCTTCGGTCGGTGCTTTCATCGAGTTGAAGGCCAACTAAGGGACTGACGCTGATGTGCTGCATCTGCTTTGCCTTCAAGTAGCACACCAGCGTCTCGACCAGCTGTTTGAAACCATACCTGTGTTAAAGAGTACAAGAAATAAATGGTTAGTAGGGGGTTTTCAGAAACCACAGCGATAACAACTGCAAAACTCACCATGAACAATAAGTCCCTTGGTTCTTCGCCGGCATATCTGGCGTTCCCATCTCCGCCATGAACTGCACGAGTGTCATGAACATGACAATGGGGGTGTCGAATTTGCAAAGGAAACGCACAGTCAGAAACAACTTTACCAACCGCCGCGTTTCCGCACTCCTATCTCTGAAGTTGGAGAGAGATGCCTGCTTCTTCTGCGGGCCTTCACGCTGCTCCAACCGGTCCTTCGCCTCCCGATGCCGGATGCTCCAGTGATGCTTCCTCATCGTCTACTTCTGTATGTCGATGCCTCCCTCTCCCCGAGGGCCGTACTGTGACTCTGGATATGCGTACACCATGCAGATCTTGCACCTCATGCAAGGTCGACCTTCGGATGTGTCACCGATGATGAGCCAAGGGAAGTGGCAATTCCACTGCTGCTTGGCTTTTAGCTGTAGCTAAATCCGGGGTCCGCCGTTCTCAGCTCCGTGGCTCTCCCTTCCATCTTCCTTAGTAGTGGGATTCCCTGCAGAGGAAGGGGGGGCGCTTCGAAAAGGTTGCTTGTGTTGCACAAGTTTGGTCTTGCCAGTAAACGCATCGGGAGAAACGGGGAGCAGGATTGAAAAGGATTTTGTTCACCAGCAACATCTGATGCGACAGGTTGACCGGATGGCGAACCCCCAGTGGTGGCTTGTTGAGCTCGGTGACCGCACGGGTGAAAATGGTATGAGCGGCTCGGCATCCATCTCAGCGAAAGGGTAAGGCTGCTCGGGAGAATCGAGTTTGTCATTCTGACAGGCCGAAGGAGCAATAGGAGCAGATGAGACTGGAGTAGGGGTGAAACCCCCCCCCCCCGTAAGGAAATCCAAGCTAGTGCGTGGGCGTGGCAACGCACTGTAAGGAGGTGAAGCATGCAGAGTGGATGCTGGAGGGGCCTCTGTGCGAGAGTCTACGGCCATCTCGGTGGAACTAGGCACTGACTGGCTCTGGCACACGAGGGTAAGATGAAGGACACCTGTGCTGTGGGGAGTGAGGGGGACCGTCCGTACCGAGCCACATGCATGGACGTCCCCTTCCCTGCTGGAAGCAGCCATACCATCCATCTCTCGCTGACTCGATCCGCACTGAGGGCTGTCGGTGTTGCAAATGCAGCCTTCTGCCGTGCGCTGGCGCGAATATGCCAAACGACCTAGCAAGATTCGTGCCAGCCGGGTGATTGCGGCGCAGTGACGTGCAGTGTTGTCACCGATCAAAGGCAAAGTACAGCCTGGCGGTGGCATCACGGTGACGCGGCGGGTGGCAAGTCTTGTCCGTAACATAGGGCAACAAGCCATGTGGCCAACTAGCCAGGTGGGCAACTGGCCAGGTGGAGGAATTGTGTGTTTCAAACGAAAAGAAACTCGGTGTCTGTAGTCTGAGACGAATTGTATAAGGCTGTCTGAAAAATCAGACGACTAAAAAAAATCGCTCTTAAAAGTCAGACGACAGTAAACAGCATGTCTATGGCATCAGATGAACCATAAAAAATGTGTTCAAAAACAAGAAATTCAGACCAAAAATTTCTGATAAATTAAGCCCTGGTTGTGACACACCCCATAGGTGAAGTAGGGGATAGCCAAACTTAACAATGGTCACAAGACCAATCAAGCAAGAGAACAAGCAAGGCAAAGCCCAGGGTGGATCTCAAGGACACCACACAATCTGAGCACAAGCAGGC